GAGGCATCACCGAAAAAGCAAAGTATGTTCTCAAACGCGATGAACGCGTTCCTAAGAGAAAACCGAATATTGTTGTATTATCCTTAATATCCTTCTCAACGATATTAATTTACTCCAGAGCGGTCAGATTAGCCTACTAAACCAATCCTATTACCCAATATCATCTATATATCTAGTATCTTCTCCCAAATAGCCCTATCTTCCCTTATATTTAGATTAGGGTGAACATATTACTATATATACAATTTACTGATATACTATATCTACAGTAGGCTCTTAGGAAAGTATTTATTTTTGAAAGAAATACGGAATTTCTCTAAGAGAGCACTAAAAACTTAATTAATACCTTTATCAACACTATTTCAAAAGTAGTAGCCTAGTAAAGTCTTAACTAAATAGATCCCTACACTATTCTGCTCTAAAGATACTTCTAGAATTCTAATATTATCAATATCCCTTCCTTAGCATAAGCTATAAGTTAATAGAATAGTATATAACAAAGATATATATGCTTAACTAATCTTCTCTATAACCCAATATCAAACTACTATATATATCGGTCTGTTTATAAACCTAGACTTAATTAATAGTAAATTAGTTATACTAGGTAGTACTCTCCGACCACAGTAATAGCCTAAAAGATATTAGTAAAGACTATCTATCTAGCTTACTATTAACTACAAATATAGTCTTTATATATAATATTTAACAGTAAGAGTAGTACTTTTAAACTATTAGTTAATAGAGAAATACTCTTACCTATATAGAGGTAGAAACTTACAAAGGAACTTAGCTATAGCTTAAATAGACAAAGTAAATAAGTATATACTAAGAGATCCTATAGAATATCCTAAAGAGAATAATACTTCTTCCTACTATTTCCAGTATTAGGTATAGCTTCTACTTAGGTTTTTACTGAGACTAGAAACTTATAAGTTTAGCTATAGATAAAGATTATATATACTACTTAGTTATAGTAGTTAATATAGTACTAGACTATTATAAGGATACTATATAGTATATTAGACAACTAATTCTAACTTAGCTAAAAAGTTGTATAGCTATAGAGACCTTTATGAATATTATACTATAAAACCCTATAACAAAATACGCCAAAGCTCCGGCTATAACAACCGATAGGTGACACCTAAGTGGCACCCGTGCCGACAGCTAAGCAGCACCTATGCCGATGGCCGAGCAGCACCCATACCGATGGCCGAGCGGCACCCATACCGACGGCTGAATAGCACCCGTGCTGACGCCTGAGTGGCACTTATGCTGATGCCTAAATGGCGCCCATATTGGCACCTCAGCTCACCGATACCCCGCTTATGGCGCCCGTATTGGCACCTCAGCTCACTGATACCCCGCTGATAGCGCCTATACATCGCCTAAACCTACCTATAACGAATAGGGTAGTTATAACAATAAAAACTAGGTGTAGCTATAATACTTGATATACATATAGGACCTTCTTGCCCATAGAATAACATACAGAACAAGACAAGCAAGACAATCAATACAACATCAGCAAACATTGCAAACAACAATCTTCTTCCTTATTGAACAAACCCTAATACCTTCTTCTTTATCCAACCTTCCCTAAGCCTATTGAGACATACAAAGTCTTAGAACCTTACTATATCTTTTTCTTTCCTTAGAACCTAATAAAGCCAAAATTAATACTAATATATATAGAAACAGTTTATTACATTCGTTCTACGAGTATTTTACCGTAGGCCTCTAGCTTATTAGAAACTTTTAAGACTTAAGTTCCTACTTTAGTATCTTTAGGTCCTAGAACAAATCTAGGCTAACTTACTTTAAGTAGTAACTAGGGATTTATCTTCCTAGTAGTCTTTTACTAAAGTAAATTTAGGTCTGAAAAAAATAGTTAGTATAACTAGTCCTAATATCTCTCTAGAAGTATATAGTAAAGAAAGTCAAGATAAATATAGTATTTCTAAGAGTAATAAAGATAAAGAAAATTATATATTGTAGTGGGGATTTCGATCTCAATATCGGAGTTAGGTAACTGAGACCTTAGTAATAGGGCTACTATTTAGTTTCGAGGAAATAAGTAGCGTTCGTTCTCTAGTATTAATATCAGAATGTATATTCCCCTTTTCGAAATATTCTATGGAGACTACTGAGGTTGTGGTATCGATATACTACCTAGGAGAGATTCTATTATTTATTCAATTATTTCTCTATAGTATTATACTCTATCTACTACTTTTCTGTACTCTTTAAGTGTAATAGTTTTGTCCTCTTACAATTAATCTATCTACTTAATAGATAGCTAGTAAGTATTTATGAATATTATACTATAAAACCCTATAACAAAATACGCCAAAGCTCCGGCTATAACAACCGATAGATGACACCTAAGTGGCACCCGTGCCGACAGCTAAGCAGCACCCATGCCGATGGCCGAGCAGCACCTATACCGATGGCCGAGCGGCACCTATGAATATTACAAATATTACCGTTGCCTAGGCTATACAAGCCTTAGAGAGCGGATGTAACTATGCCAGTGCCCCGAGTGCAACTATGCCGGTGCCCGGGGGTTACTGTGCCAGTGCTCTGGGGTTACCGTGCCAGTGCCCCGGGTGTAACTAGACTGCGGCACTAACCGCAAAGACCGCGGTTAACCTAAAACCTAACCAAAACCGCAGCGGTTTTGGTCTTCATATCAAAACCGCAAATTTTTGCGGTTCGGTTTTGGTCTTCATCCCAAGACCGCAAAATTTTGCGGTTCGGTCTTGGTCTTCAAATGAAAACCGCTGCGGTTTTGCGGTTAACCGCGGTCTTGTAAACAATACAAACATGCTAAGCCTCGTGACCTGCTGGGCAGATAGATTTTTATGCAGTTTTTTTGGTAATTTTGTTGTTTTGGTCATGTATGAGAGCTCTGACTAATTTTCAGGCGAAGAGTCATCTCCAGGATATACGGAATACAGAGACTACAGAACAAAGAAACTGGATAGAAGAACAAATCAAGAAATATAATCTGACAGTATTTAAGCTACAAAGGCGCCAGTTGGAACCCCTCTGGCATTTTAGGCTTCTTGCGAATCCGCGTCGCTCGCTGTGTGCCTTCGTGTTCCATTTGATCCTCCTGCGAGCTAGTACTTCCAGAACGCGCTCGTTTTTGTGTCTCTCCTGATGGCTCCTGTCTATCTTCCTCCTCTTCCTCCTCCTCCTCCTTCTCTCCTTCCTTCTCTTCAATATCGCTAATTGGATCCAATGCTGGAAGAGGGGCTATTGATCCTCTGTCTTGTTCAATCATCGCTGCCTCACCCGCTAGTACAAGCTCTTTTGTAAAGTCAATCTCTCTCTGTTCAACCTCGAATTTTACAGCACACGATTGCAGCATCAACTCCTTGATAGTATCAGCGTTAAGGCGGCCCCGTCTGTAGTGACAAATATCTCGAGCACAGTTAAAAAGACGCTCAACACCTGCGCCACTCGCAGGAATTGAAAGAATATCCCGGGCTAGAGCAGCCAGCACTGGGAACTCTTTTTGATGCTCCTTCCAGAATAAACGGGGCTGTTGTGAAATAAGGCCTAGATAAAATTAGTATCTGAGATAGGCAGACAGGCAATTAGACTTACCTTTTGCAAGATATCGAGCCAGTTCATCATCATCCTCCTCTGCTGGTACTTCTGCTGCATAAAATGAAGTCTGTGAGTCACACAGCATCTCAATCTCATTAATATCACTGGAGTTCTGCTGGACATTAGAGGATGATTCTTCAGCCTGATCTGAAAATCGCCGTTTGTATCGCCAGAACTCTTTTTCAAGACGCCCACGATATCTTGCACCAAAATCAATATCCCCTTGCCAATCTTTTGAGGTAAAGAATCGAAGTTTCTTTGATGGGGCAAGAATGGTAGCAATACCATAAAGATCCCCATAAAACTCCTTATCAGTTGCTTGATAATACTCAGAAAGCTTTTCCCTTGCCGCCTGCAATGCCCTCAGCATTGATTTCTTCCATGGGAGTCTCTTTCGGCGAAGCTGGTTCTCGGAGTTCTCCAGGTGATTGAAAAGCTTATTGTAAACACCAAAGATAAGATGGATTGTGGTGTCTTTTGTTTTTGAGAGAGCAGTTGTGAACTTGAAGAATGGCTCAGTGATACACAGTAAGTAGTCGATCTGACGCCATTCTTCTTTGTCAAGCTGAAAATGGAGATAGCCGTGTGCTGTACAGTATTCTTGAAAGCTCTTCTGTAGTCGCTTGGCTCGGCCGAGCATCAGAAATGTAGAATTCCATCGAGTCCGTACATCTTGAAGAGGAAGCAGTCGAGGCTCCTGGGACTGGATTACAAGAAATGCAGCTCGGCGCTGAGGACTTGCATTAATAAAGATAGCAAGATTTCGGATCTACAGATAACTATTATTAGCTGTTATCCTCTCTCTCTCTCTTTTTGCTGAATCATCACATACCTTGTTCAATGTCTGGATAATCTCTCTCTTTGATTGCTGAGAACGCGCCTGGCGCTCACGGTCATCTGACCATCCATCCTCTGCCTCATTATTGGATGGCATTGCTTTTATTTTTCCGAGAAGTTGATTCAGACTCAGTTGGATCACATGGGCCAGGCATGGAACACGAAATATACCATTACCAAGCCCGTCACTTCCAACACCCTGACTTTTGAGCTCATCCTGAATACTGAGCATCATTGTATTGTTATTGGTAGCATTATCAGTTGTTACTGACAGAACCCGATCGGCAATTTTATACTTTTCGAGAATACCAATAACTACTGAGCTTAGGTTACTCCCAGTATGTGAGCCTTGTAAGGGTTCAAAGCCAAGTAGAGCCTCTCGATACTCCCAATCGTTATCCAGAAAATAACCAGTAATAGCCATAAAGCCCTGCTGGAAAGGTGATGTCCAGCAATCAAGTGATAGAGATAGTCTACTATCCTCTGGGAGCATATCTATTATACTCTGTTGTCCTTGTTGGATATTCGAGTGTAGTTGTCGGCTAATCGTCCGGGGCGAGGGTAGTTTGACCCGTGAGAGGAGCAACAGCAATTAGATCAGCTAATTCCTGGAATTCTGGACGATCAAGGATACGGAATGGGAGCCGTGCGACGAGGATAAGAGAAAGGACTTTCTGGGCAAGCGCTTCTTCAGAGAAAGTAGTTAAAGTTGCTCTTGAAGTTTGTGACTACAAATTATAAGTTATTAGCTAAAAGCAGTATCTTAAAGAGAGTATATATACTTACCTGCTTCGCAAGTAACTTGCCAATCCCATGCTTTGGATGACAGGTATTCCCTTTCAGATGTGTGTTCATTGGTGATGTTCCTCCACGCCGAATATTTGGATGAGTAAGTGTAGTAAGGCAACGCTTACACATAACTTTAGGCTCTCCTGTCCGTTCATGAGCTACTTGCTCAAAGTGATCCCAGACTGAAGCTCTCTTTTTGTGGTCCCAATGAATGGTGGTCTCGATGTCTTTTCTTGTGCCATACTCTGTTTGAAGCCACCACTCAGTGAAATCCTTCCGAGTTTGGCCTGTTGCGGGGTCCATTTCTACAAGGATCCAAAATCGCTGAAGATGTGGCCCAGTACGTGTAAGGAATAAGGGCGCTCGCGGTAATTGCAGTTGTTGAGAGCAAATGGATGGTGTAATTGACTCGGTGGCAGTACGACAATATGTATTGAGTGATGGTAGGTCATCTGGTAGGAGAAAGTCAGTATCAGAATGCTGATCGGTGAAGACTGATGAAGTATAGGCCATCTTTGGCTATGGTCTTAAGAGCCAATATGTGTAAATGAGAGACAAACAACTTACAAGATTCGACGAGAGGACCACAAACACCAGACGCGACCGAGGACATTGATGAGTTGCAAAAGCAATTATAGAGTGGAGTCAAAGATATACTCTAATTGGATATTAGAGCTACTAATGCGGTTATCCTGCGGTTAACCGCAAAGACCCCTCACAATAACCGCACTAAGATTACCGAAAACCGCAAAAACCGCAAGATAACCGCAAGATAACCGCAAAATACCCCTGAAAACCGCAAAAACCACAGGATAACCACAAGGTAACCGCAGCACGACCGCAAGATAACCATTTATCACTGCAACTTTGCACTTTTAGGACACACTTTTTTAACACTTTTATATTGTAATACTAGATTAAAAATTATTAGGGATAGGTAAAAAAAACTAGCTCTTTTACAACATATGATCAAAATTCAGAATACTTAAAAATTAGTCAAGTTAGGCTTTTCATGTTCTACTGACCTAAAGATGCAGCATAATCTCTCTAAGTCAAATATATATTTCTGCGATAACTATACTCGATTACAAAAACTAATCACAACACACAGTAAATCTCGCCAACAATATCCAAAATCCAACTTCGAACTTGAATTTTTTGTAGACTAATATTTTATCTTTTAGAATACTGCTCTATTTCAAATTATTTCCAACAGAAAGTAAGAAAAATAAATGATTACAGTAGTAATAACGAAACCATATGTAAGAATGCATTATTTGAGCTTAGTTATCAGGTGTATAAAAACGGTGGGGTGGCTTAGATAGGTAAGATCTTCATCTTTTATGCTAGTGCGGTTAACCGCAAGGTAACCGCATTGCGGTTTTGGTTAACCGTAAAATTTGCGGTTAGGTTTTGGTAAAGATCTTAGAACCGCAAACCGAATCGATTTGGGTTTGGTAAAGATATGAAAGCCGCAGACCAAATCGATTTGGGTTTGGTTAGCATTTGAAGACCAAACCCAAAACCGTGCCGCAGTCTAGGTGTAACTATGCCAGTGCCCCGGGTGTAACTATGCCGGTGCCCCAGGGGTTACTGTGCCAGTGGCCCGGGTGTAACTATGCCGGTGCCCCGGGTGTAACTATGCCGGTGCCCGGGGGTTACTGTGCCAGTGCTCCGGGTGTAACTATGCTAGTGCCCCGGATGTAACTATGCCGGTGCTACTGCTACCATACTTAGCAATATTGCCTAAGCCAGCTAAATATATATATAACCTTCTCCCCCCATACACAACACAGAACAAGACAATCAAGACAATCAAGACAATCAAGACAAGCAAGACAATCAATACAATATCAGCAAACATTGCAAACACCAATCTTCTTTATCAAACAAGCTAAACACCTTCTTCTTCTTCATCCAACCTTCCCTAAGCCTATTGAGACATACAAAGTCTCAGAAAATCTAACTTAGTAGGAAAAGTAAGGTTTAAACCTAATATTTATAGTATAATCTATATTAGTCAGTCCCAGTCTATAATAGATTATACACAGAAAAGTAGGCGTATTGGCTATAATAGATAGCCTAGTAAGACAATTATAATATAGACTAAAGATTAGACTATTAGGCAGAAATACCATCCATTTTGGATATATAATATACCCTAGGATAAGCATACCTATAGTAGAGAGTATTAAGAGATATTTTAGGGTTTTAGGGTTTATAGATAGATATTAAGAGTAAGTTATATTAGGGTTCTACAATTATTTATTATTCGTATAGTAGTTTAAACCTATTATATAAGTTCTTAATATATAGAAAAGCCATTTCCAAGCCAGTTACTAGTTTTAATCTATCCCATGGGGGGTAAATTCAATGAGGCCCATTGAATTTTTTAGGGTTTTGTTAAGTATGGGGGAAAAAAGTGGGTCCAGGGCCCATTGAATTTAGATTTCAAACCCCCATTGAATTTAGCAAAATAATGTCGTAGAGTTTCCAGATTTCGATATATTTTAATTTAGTATTAGTTTTATTCCATAGCCAAATTTAAGCACAATCAGAGCATATCCAGTATCGATTTTGTCCCCCACAAAGTAGCAAGATTTTTTGATGGGGTAACCACCAGCCGCCGGTCGCGACCAGTCAAACCCACCAACATCAACAACCACCATATGTAGTTTAGTCATAGGATTTGTTTTTTTTTGTTTCAAATTTCAGGGGGGTTTTCCCAGATCCCCCATCATCATCCCATTTTATTTTGGGTCCATTTGAACAACATTGAGTTGATCCCATTTCCCAGATATACAATACCAGCCGATATATAGATTTCCATATCCGACATGGACACCGAATACCAGGCCCACGAATTATTTTGTGTCAATGCCGAATTTCGCGTGTTGATTTGCCAGAAATGTCAATGTGCCGTACGCCGGGGACAGATCAAGGCCCATTTAAGTAGTACCGTACATCGGATACCCATTTCGTGGGTACAGTATATCGACAGAGTGATCCAGCAGTGGGATCATATTGATGATCACCCAGAGGTGGATAGTTGGCCCCGCCAGATTGATCAACCCATCCCCGAGTTACCCGTTTATCAGGATGGATTATTGTGCCAGCAATGTGAGGTATATACATGCCGCCAGATCCGTACGATGAAGGCACATTGGATAGAGGCCCATCAGTATCGTGTACAGCAAAGCCGCGGTCGTCCCACACCCAGACAGGAAAAAGCCATCCAGGCCGCCATTAACGCCAATAGCCGAGCCGTTGCGTGTCAGCGTATATTCAGCCAAGGCCCCGGTTCACATTATATTCATATTGTGCAGCCCAATCCCAATGAGCCCCCCCATAGACCCCGTGGAAGACCCCGACCGGATTCACCAGTTAGTGCAAATGGTTGAGGAGTATCAGCAGCAAGATCAACAGGCCCATGAAACCATCATCCAGGCCGGGGAGTTAGATGAAGCCACGCCATGGTTGAATCGGACGGGGTGGGTTCGGTATTTACAAGGGACCCCCCGGCAGCCATTATTCGAGAGTACCCAGCGCCCCGAGGAGGATGCCGAGGGACCAGAGCGTATCGCATTGGTCATTTGGGAGGCCATGGAGCGATTGGCATCGGTGAGCCAGGAGATCGCCAAGGCGTGCGGGCATTTAGTACGCATTGATGTGGTCCGTACGATGAAGGACGAGAGTCCACATAAGCCATTATTGGCATATTTAGATGCCACCGCCATTCAAAAGCATGTGGCACCGTGGCAGCAGATTATGATGTTTTTTGCACGAACCCAGGTATGATCACGTCCGTACCCGATATCAGACACCCAGGTTGATTCACCATCCCAGATTGAACATGATTGGGAATCACCCAAGTATTCATTTACCCCCCGACAGCAGCAGTTATGGGATGCCGTGTGGCGCCATGCCCAGGCCCAGGCCAGTTGTCCCGACCCCGAGGATGATGAGCCCGAGCCATTCGAGATTCGTCCCATCGAGCATGCATTATTAACGTTTTGCATCGATTTATTACGCCAGAAGATCCGCAACGATGAATATGGATGTGCCATGATTTGTGCCACCGCCGTGATTGGATGCGGGCAGTTTGGTTGGGCCACGCCCGAGAATTTCCCCCCCCGGATATCCAGTTTGATCAAGATCGCGCGGTTTTTTATTTTGCACAAAGCATTGCGGTTAGACCCCCGGTCATCGGAGATCCGTCGTGGGTTCGCCGGGCAGCAGAACCCGCCATGGTTTGAAGGTGATATGATCGGCATCGATGAGGCATATGCCCACGATGATGAAGGATATGGCAGTGCCCCCCCATCCCCGGTGGCCATGCGTAGTTCCCCCCCCACCAGCGATGACATATTAGGAGCATTGACACAGGAGCAGCGCCAGCATCCCGACCGAACGTTCCCCGAATGGGTCACATATTTGGTGGATTTATTCATGGTTCGTGGGACCAATGGCCCCGTCCAGTGGTGGTTAGATTTACGTACGTACGGACGGACGATATTTATGAATACCCCCAGCGAGGGTCATATCGGGTGGAAGTCCGGAGATGAATTGTTGTACAAACAGATCCATTTTACCATGGGCCATTTCCGCGGATTTGTGCATGGGTTGGTTGGCCGGTTACGGCAGCAGTTGGTCCACGAGTTGATGTTTTGCACCGATCACCCGCCCCCAGCCATCCCGTGGGATCATTTGTACGATGATGCCACGCAGAGTGCCACCGGATGGAGTTTTTTACAGGATTTACGTACATCGTGGCCGGTCCAGGGTCCGACGTGGTTCATGGAGCGTATCCGCCACGAGCCCCGATTACAGCGTCAGTTTGTACAGTCCCACGGGGCCGGGTTCCGGATGCCCGCCATCGATCGGTTTTTTCGAGTGGTGAGCCAGTTCCGTGAGCGGTTAAGCGTGGCCGTCCATGTTTGTGCCGGTCAACCCAGCCGGGGTCCCGAGTTAATGAGCATCCGGCATCGTAACAGTGAGCGAGAGCGCCGCAATATATTCATTGAGGATGGCATGGTCACATTTGTCAGTCGATACCATAAGGGGTTCCATGTGGCCAATGATACCAAGGTGATTTTCCGATATTTACCCCGGGAGATTGGTGAGTTGGTCATATGGTATTTATGGTTAGTATTGCCATTTGTGGAGCAGATGCAGTCATATCAGCGGCATATACGGGGCGAAGCCGCCACCATCGGTCGACGGGCCGAGTATGTATGGTCCCCGGATCCCGATCGGCAGACCGAGTGGAGTAGCGTCCGGTTACGGGAGGTATTGAAGCGCGAGACCGCGATTGGATTGGATGGGCAGAAGTTGGGATTACAGGCATACCGTGACATCGCCATCGCCATCAGCCGGCGGTATTTACGCCCCAGCAGTCAGTTCCAGGCCAACACCGAGGAGGAGGCCCCCGACATTGACGACGAGACATCCATGGATGATGATGGGATCCGAGCATTCATTGCGGATATCCAGGCCGCGCATTCCGCCAGCATTGCCGGGACGCAATATGGCCGGATGATGATGGAGAATCCCAACACCACGGCCCGGCACCGCGAGTTATTCCGCCAGGTGAGCCAGGATTGGCATTATTTTTTAGGATTCGAGTCCACCCGTATCGAACATGACCGCCGGGCCCCCGGCACCAAGCGTAAGCCCAACCCATGGGAAGTCGAAACGGCCGAGGCCCGTACGCAGCGTCGATATGATTTACACCAGACCAACATAGACGAGGCATTCCAGCACATGATGGGGAGCAACACCGTAGCATTGCGGGGGCAACAGGGTCCCGTATTACAAGCCATCAAGCATGGGGTAAGCCCCATTGTGGCGGTCATGCCCACCGGGGGAGGTAAGAGTGTGTTGTTTATGTTGCCCGCGTGGGTGAGTGGCCGTGCCGGGTTAACCATCGTGGTTGTTCCATTGATTGCATTACGCGGTGACATGGAAGCACGATGCCAGCGATTGGGGATTTCATGTGCGGTATGGGACCCCCGACGGCCACCCGATGGGGTATCCATCGTATTGATCACGCCCGAGAGCACCGACAGCGATGCATTTGCCGATTTTGTGACCCGGCAGCGGATGTTACAGCGATTAGATCGGATTGTGGTGGACGAGTGCCATATGGTATTAAGTCAACAGGAGCGATTCCGGCCATTATTCCAGCAGTTGGGCAAGTTACGAACCGCAGCCACCCAGATCGTGATGTTGACCGCGACATTGCCCCCCCCGCAGCGAGGAATTATTATTCCATCGGATGCATTGGGTCCGGGATCAAGTGGTATTATATCGGGGCCACACCAGCCGGCCCAATATCGCATATCGTGTCCATACGATCCCCGTAGACGATGGATATGACCATCCGTTCCAGTAGGTGCAGATGCGGAGTGTGATCCAGTTCATCCAGGACCGTGTTCGCCGAGCGTACCCCGGCCGGGTGATCATATATGCCACCGTCCGGGCCCATGTCACCGCATTGGCCGAGTTATTAGGTTGTGCCGCATACCATAGCAAGCAGGTGGACAAGGAAGGGATTTTGGCATCATTCCGCCACCAGGCCGGGGCGGTGATCACGGCCACCAGTGCGTTAGGGATGGGGATTGATATCCCCGATATCCGCAGTGTGATCCACGTTGGTCAGCCCCGGACCATGTTAGATTACGCGCAGGAAAGTGGGCGGGCCGGGCGTGATGGACAGCCCAGCGAGGCGATTATCATCCAGGCCGAGGGTCAGACGATGGGGCGGGAATGCCGTCCGTTTTGGATGCACGATGCGCCCCCGGACGACCATGCCCATGTTGTTGAGTATATGGAGGCGGCGGTGACGGGTTGCCGGCGAGTGATATTGGATGGGTATTTGGATGGACCCATCGAGGAATACCAACGACAGCGATGTGGTGATCGGGTGGTCGAGTCCGCATGTGATGGATGTATGCCCAATTGGGAAGACCAGGAGTCCCGGATTGGATCCGCGTCCCCCGTTATCGCCGATGACCCGATGGTTGATGTTGGGGCGGTTGAGCCGGTGATGGCCGGCCCGACGGAGGATATTCCCAGCACCATGGCCCGGGCCGTACCAATCGCCATCCAGCATACATTTCGGCAACAGGATATCCAACGGGCCGAATTATGCCAGCAGGCGGATGGGAGGGCCGGTCAGCAATATGAGGATGAAGAGTTTTTGATCCGTGAGATTGAGAAGTGGGTTGATCGTTGTTGGACATGCAGCCAAGGAGGCCGTGACGATGGACATGAGATGTGGAAGTGTTGGTATGGTGAAGGGGGCAGCGGCAAGATTGCGCAGGCCAGTAAGGATTGGATGGTCAAGATTCGACGGCAGATTTCGTACGATGGGTTCACGGCGCATTTTTGGTGTGGGATGCCGCAGTATATATGTCCGCGGAGCGATCGGCGAACGGAGCATAGTCCGCAGACGGTCCAGGCATGTGATGGATATCGTACGGCATTGATTCCGACGATTGCGATGATGGTGCATGGGCCCCATGCCAATGCAGTAATCCGAGAACGGTGGTTCCAGCGATTGAGTGAGCATGGGGTGGATAATATCCGGGCGAACGATACAGAGTTGATTCGGTATTTGGGACAGATGGCGCGGAATTGTGGACGAAAGCGAGCGCAGATTACGGAAGAGTTTATTTGGTTACGGAGAGCATATCAAGGAGTTGAGCGTGGTGGGTAGGTGGAAATCGAGAGCGGCGTTCGTGTTTTCCGTATTCAAGTAATAAAGACGATGGCCAAATATATGTTGTCATGTTGCCGGGTTCCATGGTTGATTCAGTGTATTTCCAGGTGAGAGGGATGATTACGGTAGAAATATATGGGAATTATAGGGTCAGGAGGATAGATATATGATGGGTATTAGGAAGGTGATATACAGGACGATTGTATAGTAAGTGATAAGGTCATTAGTGATAGGGATCGTGTGTTATACGGAGATCGAGGTTTAGAAGTTGGGAATGTTCCGAGAGATGCCAGTGGTGAGGGTTTATGGATGGGTGGTGAGGGTTTGTAGATAGGTGGTGAGGGTTTATGGATGGGTGGTGAGGGTTTGTAGATAGGTGGTGAGGGTTTATGGATGGGTGGTGAGGGTTTGTAGATAGGTGGTGAGGGTTTGTAGATAGGTGTTTAGGGTTATATATGTTGGTGTTCCAAAGTTGTTTGTTATTAGATAAGTGGTTCCAACCCGTCCGAGAGTGCATAGGAAGAGATCAGAGTAACAAAAGTCAGTAAATCAGTTACAAGGTTTTGATATAGATAGCAAGGGACCCAGGGCCCATGAGATGAGGGTTTTCGGGGTAGAACCCGGTCAGAGGGTGGTTTTAGGGTTTTGGCATTGATATTAACCCGGGCCCGGGCCCGGGTGGTGAGTTTTAGGGTTGAAACCCGTTGTCCGAGTGGTAGGTTAGTGGAAACCCGAGAGTATTTTAGGGTTTAGGGTTTAGGG